GGTGTTGGCATGCTTCCGTACATTGGCGATACGCAGCTTGGTAGAATACCTGCTCAGTTGGCATATGGAAACGAAGAGCTGGTTGGCAGACAAGTGGAGGTTAAGCATGTGGCGTCGGCGGTTAGTGAAGCTGCCGCTTTTGTGCTAATGTTAAAGGGATTGCCGGGATTGCTGAGAGTGCCTGCGGTTAACTTTACGTTTAACGCGGGATTGATCATTGCGGCCACAGTCGTCGCATCAGAATGTGCATATCCATTAAGGCAGCTGCTAGAATCACGGAGCAGCGAAGCATCATCTTCAAGCAATGCTAGTCAAGATGCCTAACTCAATTTTATACTGTATAAACCCACTCTACATTTCACTTCCTCTAATTGAGCCGAATCGAGTCGAGTCGAATCAGGTAAATGAACGGGATCAATGTAGACTTTAGGAAAAAATGCACGAAACGGGGGTGGGGGTGATAATAGGATGATGAGGAGCGCGCGGAGTGAATAGAAGTTGAGGAAAGGTGCTAATCATTTAAGGTGTTTGTTTAAAATGGTCATTGACGACACACATGATGAAGGGGGGGAGGAAGCAACCTGCTACAATAGTCCAGCCATTATGATTTGTTGCTAGCCTTGGTCAAGGAAGAGTCATTTAGCAGTCCTTGCCATTACCGCCGCCATTGTACGCTGGTGGCGGGTTAACTGGACCTGGAGTGGTGTGGCGACCGCGGTAGTGACCATTATATGGAGGATGTGGCTGTTGCTGCTGCTGCTTTGGCTGCGGCTGCTGGTATTGCTGTGGCTGCGGTTGCGGCTGTGGAGCGATTGGAATTGGCTGGGAGCGTGGAGCCGGGGCTGGTGCAGGATTAGCATGTGCAGGGGCAGGCGCAGGGGCAGGCGCTGGTGGTGGAGAGTTCGACTGAGCGTTACGGGGCGGCGGCGACACAATCGGCAGTGCTGGCAACTGCGGTACGGCTGGAACCACTTGTGGGATCGACGGCAGCTGTGGCAGGCTTGGCAGCGCATTCAACACCTGGCCGACGAGCGAGCACGGGTCTGCCAACCCACTGCGGTAGCTTGGGCTAACTCCAATGCCATCAAACGAAAAGTACGTGACACCGTTCGAGCCTGTGACAGCACCACCCGCGCAGCTATTAATCTGCTGGCTCTCCAGCAAGACACGGTGCTCGGCGTGACCAGCCCATGCATTAACAGCATCGTTCTCCGTCTTCCAAATCGAAGCACCCGCCGCGCATTGAACCCAGTAGGTGGGAGCAATCTTGCACGCATTCGAAAAGAGACTAAGTGGGTTGGAGAGGAAGTGGCCCTGAGCAAGGACATTGGCCTGGAGCTGAGCAGACAGGGCGGAAACGGGGTTGCCGCAGCCCAGGAAACCGAGCGGGACGAGGTTCTGGGTGGCGCGGAACTTGTTGATCAGGCAGCACATGACTGCTGGGTTGAAGGCGCTCACGGACGATGTGAGAGAGCCGAGGGAGAACACCAGCATGGACCCAACGGTCAAGAGCGAGCCAGTCGCGGGAGCAGCACTACTGAAGCCAAATGGACGCATCGCTGGTAGGTGATGAAATCGCTAAATGAACCGCGGAATCGAGCGTGAACGGGGATCGTAAGTATCCTGGAGGTGTATGTGTGTATGTGCGTGTGTGCGCGCGTGGTATTAGCTGATGATTACGATTACGGTGGTGACTGGAACTGCTGATGGCGATACGCTGGAGATGCAACCAAAGCCTGTAAATTAATTAAGTGGTACAAACTAATGTATTAGTGTAAGGAAGTTGATGTAAAGTAGTGTGGAGCTGTGGGTGAGTGGGTGGGTGTGTGGAGAGACTGAAAGAAAACGGAGCGAGACTAAAGAGAAGTAGGACGCTTTTTGACGTGAGATGATATTAAGGAAGCAAAGTAAGGAATGAGCGGGAGAAGGAAGACAGACCGGATCCTGTTGGTGGTGGGAGGAAAGGTTGCGTGCGGAGAACCAGCTCGATAAGTGTTTGGCGCGGTTGAGAGGAGGAGGGGGAGAGAAAGCCGACGGAAGCTATGAGGGACGCACAAAAACACAGAGGGCTAAAAAGGTGTGTGTGTGTGTATGGGAGAAAAACAGAAGAAGGGCTTTTGTTTGTTATGAGAACAAGGTTCAAATAGGTGCTAAAGGAGTAAAAATCGTGGGAGATAGCAAGGGAGGGAGCGAGGGCGGGCGAGAGAGAGAGGAAGAAAGAGTTGGATGTGTGAGCCAGGAGTGATTGCGAGTTGATTGTGAATCAGAGTTTTCTTTTGATCAACTTTAATGCTAAATGACGTCTATGTGTGCGTAGTGATTGTTCCTGCAAATGAAGAGGCAGAAGAGTGGATCAAATCTAAGAGGTTGGGCGTAATGTGGTGATCGTAGGTGCTGCTAGTTAGTTAGTGATGAGCCTTCAGTTAGGCGATTTGTGTGATGCGGACCTGCGCGCAACAAAAAGCAAAACGTGGGAATTGGAAGGATGTCGTGGCAGACGGTGGCAGATTGGCGGTAACGATGGTGGGTGTTTATCGTGTTTGTGTGTTTGTGTGTGTATGTTTGTGTGTGTAGCGTGTATAGCCAGTTGCGAGTCCAGCGCGCTGCTTCGTGTATGTTGTAAAAAATGTGAGGTTGATTGGAAGGCGAAAGAAGACGAGGTCAAGAGAGGTTGGACGCTGCTTGAGGCCAAACTTGTAAAAATAAAAAGGGCAAAGACGCGAGTTGAGTAGAGTTGAGTAGAGTAGAGGCAAGGTGAGGTGAGGTTGAGGTTGAGTACTGACGAGCAAAAGAAAAGCAGAAAGAGAAGAGTGTTGTATTGCAAATCTCTATTTATGCTATTGATGCAGGCTGCAGAGCAACTGCTTGACTGTGAGTCAATGAGACAAAGAGGGATTGGGTAGTATGCACGACACTGTAAATCGTTCCGTGTTCACTGTTTGACTCTGCTACTGACTGGCCAACTGACTGACTGGCTGACGGGCTACCAGCTCGGGCAAAGCAAAGTGAAGCAAAGCAAATAGCCCTTTGGTGGCGAGAGAAAAACAACAACAACAATAACAGCAGTAACACTAACAACGGCCGGATCACAGCCTCGACAATGGCAAAAGATGCAAGGAGGTTGCCCGATGCCAAGCCACTCTGTGAGTGTGGCTTTATTGTTGGCTGAGTGGCAAAGAAGACAGGGAAAACACAAAAACAAAATAAAGACATAGGAACCACTGTATGCCACTTTGGAATTCTGCAAGTCTTGCTGACACTGGTGGTTGGGTGATGGCATTGGCCAGGCTAATAATTGGATACAACACTCCTACCTTCAATCTGTGCAGCGGTAGAAAAGGGGGGGCAAAGTCCTCGGAGTACGCCACAAGTGTTGTGCATTAATTTATTGCATAAAGCAAAGGGGGACAGTATAAAAATAGACATTTCAATCGATTCTAAATGAAAGAGAGGAGAAGGAGGAGAAGGAGGAGGGGGCAGAGTGTGTTTAGTAGAAGGCCTTCTGGGCAGGAGCATTGCAGCACTGCTGAGCACAGCAGGTGTTAGCTGGGACAGCGGCCGGTGGGACGTAGGCAGCTGGTGGTGGCTGAGCAACATAGGTTGGCTGCTGTGGAGCTGGAGCTGGAGCTGGAGCTGGCGAGACATAGCTTGGTGCTGGCTTGGCCGGTGGGACATAGGTTGGCGCGGTGGTTGGCTTTGGCGCAGTGTAAGAGGTGGTTGGTGGCTTGACCACTGGTGGCTGTGGAGCTGGCTTGCCTGGCTGGCAGTTGGTTGCGAAGTCAATCGAGTAGCCCTCGTTGTTGTTCTGGCCAGTGGTGTGAGCAGCAGAGCAGCACTTGTACTTTGGGTCAAGCATGATGCGCTGGTGGAGTGGCTCGCGGTAGAAGGCATCGGCCATGGACTCCATTGACTTCCAGGCCGGGGAGTAGCCGACAATCTGGCCAGTCCATCCTGGGGAGGAGCGGCAGGAGGCCTGGTAAGTGGCGGCACCATCACCTGACAAGTGAGACTGGACATTTGCGTGGGCCATGCGCTGAGTCTGGGTGTTGCTCACAGCGTTGCCGCACGGGTTGTAGGAGAGAGGAGGAACGCCGTTGCGAGCGCGATAGCCGTTGACCAGGTTGCACATGGCCTGTGGGTCAAAGTAGACAGCGGCCGAGACGGCGGAGGAGGCGGCGACGAGAAGAGTAGCGACGGAGATGGTAGCCTTCATTTTGATGGGAAAGAAGCGAGAGGAGAGGAAATTAAAAAAGACGAGGTAGTGGGTGTTGATAGTGAGACGGATGTAGAGGCGCGGCCTAGCGGTTGCAACAGCAGTAGTAGCAGTAGCGGTAGTGGTAGTATGATAGAGGCGGTAGGATGGAGAAGGTGAAGGGTAGGGAAAGGATGAAGAGCTAAAAGAGACCAAGAGGGGGAAGAAGAAGGGAGGAGGGAGGGCAGAGATACGGTTGTGTAAGAGCGGACGTTACAAATAGGATGAGGGAGAAGGGAGAAGGGGGGAGAAGGAAAAAGCGGCAGTAACAGAAAAGAGACTGGGATGGACAAAGAGATGTATACCAGACCAGTCTCGTATCAACAAAACAGTTAAAGAAGAATAAAAGAAAACTCCGCTCAGATTGATCAGCTGCCTTAAAGGAGAGAATGAGAACAGAGAGTGTGGACGCACCCGCGCTGAAGTGTCCAGTTTTTTTTTCCCTTTCTTTCATCGACTCGCCGAGTCGCAAAGCTGATGGTAGCCGGACGAAGTTCATACAACCATGTGGACTAATTGTAAACTCCGACATCCGTGAAAATTCCTGCGAAAGGAACGACCGAGATAGGAGACAAAAAAAAATTACAAATCCTAACAAAGCATTGTAAAAGGAAATATAATGACGCTGCATTAGCATTAGCATTAGCATTGGAGGGGGAGGGTTTGCAATGAGGACACGAAAACGCGAAGTGGATGGAGATGGACTGGATGGTGTTGGCGGATGTGGATTTCGCGTTTGACGGAAGCTGGGCTGTTGGTCTAGAGGTATGATTCTCCGTTAGGGTCGGAGAGGTCCCGGGTTCGATCCCCGGATAGCCCCTGTCTTTTCGCGCCAGCTGTTCTGTTCTGCTGTTTTGCTGTTTTATTGAAGCGCGGTGCTGCTTGTTCTCATCTGCAGACAAGCTGGCTGTATTTCAGAGCATTGGCGCGGCAAAAGGGACTGATGTCGATGTTAAGCCGAGGCTGAGATTGAGTGCATTCCCGCATTCCTGCATTCCCGCATTCCTGCATTCCCGCATTCTGCCAGCTTTCAACTGCGCCAACACAGGCAACCAGACGCGACTAGACGCGGCCGCAGCAATGGAACCAGCAGACAGCCGGCAGCAGGCTGAGGACAAAAAGGAACAGCCGGTGCAGCCTGAATCACCGCGACGACAGCCAAAACAAGTTCGACACCAGCAGGACTTGAACCTGCGCTCCCAGAGGGAAATTGATTTCTAGTCAACCGCCTTAACCACTCGGCCATAGTGTCATTCCTTTCTAATTTTCCACTTTTCATTATTCATCCTCCTCTTCCTCGTCTTCGCGCAGCCTACATCCACAACCTTTCACCTCTTGTTCACTCACACTTTCTTTAACTTTCACTTTCAGATGTGTTTGATGATAATTACTATATTTAAATGCACAAGTTATAAGAATTGTTTGTTAAAGAAAAGACGTAATAGTGCATATTTCATTTGTCTTCAGAGTCGTCAACCCAGTCTGGGTTCTTGCGCAGGATGATAAAGCCTTCGAGCACTGGAGTGCAGGCAATGTACTCTTCAGTAGTCAGTTCTGCCCTTTCGCCGTAGCCAAGGACAACAGGTGTGGTGTGTGTTTGGAATCCAGAGATGGCCTTCGGCTGACCAGCCTGACCAACGGTATCGACGGCCTGACCAACACGAACTTGCACATTGACTTCGTTCAGGTTTTCATCAAGCGTAATCAGGAACCGTGGGTACACTGCGCGCAGCAGGGCATACAGCATGTACGAAGACTTGCCAACCACAAAGGCGTTGGAGTCGGTGAACATTAAGCAGGTCCACAGCAAGCTGCCCAGCGCGGTTGGAGACAGAATCTGGCGATCGTGGCGATATGGCGAGAGGGAGATGGTGCCCTTGCCCAAGCTGAGCATGCCCTGCGCGATGCGAACCACGAACCGAAGGTTGTTGTCGTTTTGGTAGTAGGTGGCAAGCTGACGCAGCATCTGGCTGACACGAGCATTGTTTGTGCCTGCACCAACTAGACCCAAGGCGAAGATGGCGTTCATGGCAACCTGCGTGTCGTTGTCATGAGAGAACTTGCTCAGCAGCTCCAAGATGTGAACAAGCGGATTGGAGGCACACATCAAACCGACGGCCAGTGGAACCATCTGGCGCACTGTGGCATCACCAAATTGGTTGAGATGATTGAACATGCGCAGAACCATGGCTGAGCCGACGTCCTCGCCAAGACTGATGATGGCGACACCAAGGACAGCAAAGGCCTGATGCAGAGCAGAGTCCTTGCTGGCATCAATGTGCTCGGCGCACTCACGCAGCAGCTTCTGGACAATAGCGACGTTGCCAGTGCCGGCGTATGCACAGGCGGTGACAATCGTGCTGGCCTGCTTGCCAACCGGGGTCTCAATGGTGGCGAGGATCTCCAGTGAGATGTCAGCCATCTCTTGGCGGCCAAAGAAGACCAGACCAAGACCAAGGCACAGGAAGCGCAGGAAATTGTTCATGGTGGTCTCCTCGCCACGGCTCATCAGCACATCGACAATGGTAGTGGCTGCATCAGTGTTGCCCGAGCCAACGCAAACCAGACCAAGTGCACAGCCAGCGATCGAAACAACCTCAAGAGTGGCAGTTGGGTCATTGAGCACCTCGGTCAGCTTCTCAATAACAAGCGGGTGGCTAGTGCCAGCGTAGGCCATTGCCAGACCAAATGCAGCTGTCACCTTGATGATGCTCTCGTTGGCTGTGGCACCGCTCTCCAGAATAGCATATGCTGGATCAGTCTCGTGGCGCACACCAATGTTCATCAAGCCCATGGCAATCTGAGCACCTGCGCGCAGGTACACGTTGTCTGATTCGATGTAGCCATCAATGGCGTTGAGGCCGTTGTCAATGTCCCACATGAGGATCGCACCAATTGAGGCTACGGAGCACAGCTGGCCAAGCTCCTTGTTGCGGTTGAACCACTTGAACGACTCCTTTGAATCAGTCTGAGCACCATCGGGGAGCACCAGCTTGTCTTTACCACAGCCAATGTTGACAAAAGCATTGACAATGGACGAGGCCAGGTTGGAGCGTGCCGAGTCAACGCGTGGAGCACGAGTAGTATTCTCCAGATGGGTCTTGTACACATCGTCAGGTGTCTTTGCATCGAGAATCTCAAGAGAACGCGCCAGCGACATGAAACGCTCCGAGTAGTGAGTGTTGGACATGGCATTGAGCAGTTCTTCGTCCTCGGTAGGCAGAGCAAGTTGATGGGTGCCGAGAATGAGTGCCGCCTGCTTCTTCTCGATTGGGTCAGTGATGGCCTCAAAGTCCTCCTCAACGGTCGAGTATTCACCAATGCGGATGGCAACTGGCAGAGCCTGGATGTGCTTGCCTAGCTTCTTGTAGATGCTGCGTGCTGCCAAAAGCATGTGGAAGTTATCTGGAGGAGGCAGGAGGTTGACGCAGCTGAGCATGTAGTTGCACACGCGCTGATAAGTCGTCTCATGAACGTAATCCACCAGCACCTCAATCTTTTCCAATTCGGACAGCAGATCAACTGAATCGGCCTCCGCATTATTCTCGAGCAAGTATGGAACCAAGTTCAGAGCCAGTGCCAGCAAGTCGTCGGTCGGCTGAGGAACCTCTTCGCGCATGCGGGATTCGTACTCCTCAACCAATCCACGGCAGAGATGTAGCACGTACTCGTGGCCCCATGCAGTAACGTTCGCAGTATCCGTGACGGTTGATAGGCGGTACGACAGACTGATGCGCTGGTCATCCTCATATGCCATCGCCAGAAGAGAGAGAATCTCGGCAAATGCACCCTTGTTGGCGACATTGGTCCATGACTCCTGAATGCGCTTCAATGTGTCATAATGCGGACGCAGGAATTTGAGTGGTTTTGGAACTGATGCCATTGAAGTTGTTTGAGAGCGTAGCAGGGTGCGAATGGCATCCAGAGTTGCCGTGTGTTCGGCTGGATGCACTGTATCCAAATCGAGGCGAACGAGACGCGTCACCAGCTCTTCAATCTCGTCAATGAGCTGCTGATCCTCGTCAGACTGTTGTACATTAAGCAATCGTAATCGTAATCGTAATCATAGTTGCAATGGCACATTATACAGTGGTATATAACACAAAATGTCAGCTTATACACTGGTGGAGAGTGTCACGAACTCTAAACGAAGGCCGTTCAGGGAGGTAAAAAGAAAAAAAGCGCTGACGATGGACGCGTCATCGTGGTGTAAAACGTACAATCTCGGGCTCATCGCGCTTCTTCTTGGACTGAGCAATCTTCTCGGCGGCTGTCTTCGCGCTGAGCTTATCGCCATCCTCCACCGGCTTGTCCTTGCGCGGCGACGTTGGTGATTTGGCAGTGTCACGGTGATCTGGTGCCATACGTGCTTTGGTGTCAAAAGTAGAGAAAAAAGTAGGAAAAAAAATAAAAAAGTAAAGAAACGCAGAGGATAATTCGACTGCTGTGTTGTGTGCTGTGTGTTGTGCTGTGTGTTGTGTTGTGTTGTGCTGTGCTTGCAAACGCAACGGAATCGTTATTCACTCTGATTTCAAAACAATAAAAAAGATACTCTTGTGATGTCGAGCAAAGAAGGCGGCGGTGGTGGCGGCGGCGCTTCGTCGGGCAGCGGCGGTGGTGCTCAGCCAACTGCTTACTACGAAATCTACCGACGGACGACTCTGGGCAACGCTTTGACTGATGCTCTCGACGAGCTGGTCACTCACAGCTATTTGACTCCACAGCTGGCCATTCGCGTGCTTGTGCACTTTGACAGGGCTTTTGCTGATGCTCTGTCGCATCGGGTCAAGACTCGAACTACACTCAAGGGCAAGCTGCGAACGTATCGGCACTGCGATGATGTTTGGACTCTGATTGTCAAGAACATTACATTTAAGATTGAAGGCGAGAATGTCAAGGCTGACCACATGAAGATTGTGTCATGCAGTGTTCGTAACAAGGATTCCTAATCTTACTATATATTTATACTGCTAGATTGATGATGATCGTCTTCCTTTCCCTCTCTTCTTCCCTTGCCTTATCCTTTTCGTCTCTCTTTTAGTTGCCTTCTTAAACATGTATACCACCTTTGATACCCAGGTGCTGTCGATGTCGAGGCTTTTTGCTGCTGGATCAGGTACCCAGCACTTGGAAGATGGAGGGAGTTGGCTGGGATGCTTGTGCCAAGTCTTGGCGTTTCCGCAGAACTGCTACCAACCGCAAAGAACCTAACCAATTCACAAACACAATGCCGCTATCGTACGACGACCCTAACTTCCCAGTTGAGCTGTATGACAAGCAGACTGGCTTGTTCAGCGAGCCAATACGTAGACTGCTCCATGCTGCTCCCCTCATCTTGACGGAACTCGCCAAACCTGAAGATGAGCGCTCATCGGCAGCCTTTGCCACGTCACAAACCACGACGAATGAGCAGCAGCAACCAAACTTGAGCGCGTCGTCAGCTGCCACCACGACAACAACAACTCAAGCCACTTACGAGGCACCGCCTCCAGACTATGATACCGCCACGGCGGCTAGCTTTCAAGAGCATTCTCACCGACAGCAGCAGCAGCAGCAGCAGCAGTATCAGCAGAATGAGCCGTCATTGAGTCGCACTGTTCTCCATGAGACGGTAGCAGCTGCTACTCATGTTGGCATCGAACGTGCACTGGGTCAGACCAGTTGGTTCCAGCGAGAGAACACAAGACGCGAAACCCGCTACCAGAACCAGCAGTCTTATGAGCGCGGTGTGAGAGATGGCATCAGCATTGCCAATACTACTTCGGCACAGTCGGCAGCGCGTCGTCGCAACGAGTCCAACGCAAGCGAGTCTGAGACCGA